ACTTTTATCACTTTCATTAAACATAATGTCGAAAGTCCTAGCCACAGCAAGCAGAGAAGAAAAAAAAAAAAAACCCATCCGGATTGGAAAGAAAGAAGGAAAACGGTCATTATTTGCAGATGACATAATACTATATAGAGAAAACCCTAAAAATTCCAATAACAAAAATACTATTGGCCCTAGCCAGTTTGGCTCAGTGGATAGAGCATCAGCCCATGGACTGAAGGGTCTTGGGTTCAATTCTAGTCAAGGGCATGTACCTCGGTTGTAGCCTCAACCACGGTCAGGGCATGAGTGGGAGGCAACCAATTGATTTGCCAATGTTTCTCTCTCTCTCCCTCCCTCCCTTGCTTCCACTCTATCTAAAAATCAATGGGAAAATATCCTCGGGTGAGGATTAACAAACAAACAAAAAGAAGCTAAAAAAAATACTATTAGAACTAATAAATGAATTCAGTAAGGAGCAGCATACAAAACTAATATTCCAAAATGAATTGCATGTTTATACACCAAAAACAAATTATCCGAAAAAAAATTAAGAAAAGAATCCCATTTTACATTGCATAAAAAATTAAACAACTAGAAATTAATTTAACCAAGGGGTACAAGACTTGTACTCAAAAAAATGTAAGACCCTGAAGAATATACAAATAAGTGGAAGCATACACCATGCTCATAACTAGAATTAACATTGTTAAAAAGTCCATACTATCAAAAGCAATCTATAGATTCAATGTAATCTCTATCAAAGTAGCAATGGTATTTTTACAGAACTAGAATAATCCTAAAATTTATATGAAACTACAATAGAATAACCACAGCAATCTTATGAACAAAGTTGAAGGTATCACACTACCTAATACTACAAAGCTATATTAACCAAAACGGCATGGTACTGGCATAAAAACAAATACATATATCAATGGAACAGAATAGAGAGTCCAGAAATAAACCCACACCTATAATAGTCAAATCTATGACAAGAAGACAAAAACAGACAATGAGCTAAAGACTGTGTATTCAATAAATGGTGCTGGGAAAACTAGACAGATACATGTAAAAATATTAAACTAGAACACCTTTTTACACTGTATACAATAATAAGTTCAAAATGGATTAAAGACTTAAATGTAATACTCAAAAGCATATACCTCATTAAAGAAAATATAGGCATTAAACTCTATTTCTCTTATGTATATATATTTGATATATCGCCTCAGGCAAGAAAAACAAAAGAAAAAAATAAACAAATGGGACCACACCAAACTAAAAAGTTTTTGTACAGGAAACCATCAACAAAATGAAGATAACCTACAGATTGAAAGATATTATATATATATACACTAGAGGCCTGGTGCACAAAATTCGTGCGGGGGGGGGGGGGGACCTCTCAGCCCGGCCTGTGCCCTCTTGCAATCGGGACCCCTCTCGCAATCCAGGACCGCTGGCTCCTAACCACTTGCCTGCCTGATCGCCCCTAACCACTCTGCCTGCCAGCCTTATCACTCCTAACCACTCACCTGCCTGCCTGATCGCCCCTAACCGCCTCTGCCTGCCTGCCTGATCGCCCCTGCCTCTGCCTGCCTGCCTGATCACCCGTAACTGCTCTCCTGCCTGCCTAATTGCCCCTAACCCCTTTGCCTAACTGCCTGATCACCCCTAACTTCTTGCCTGCCTGCCTGATTGCCCCTAACCGCCTCTGCCTTGGCCCCCGCTGCCACGGCTTTGTCAGGAAGGATGTCAGGAAGGTTGTTCAGCTGTCCAATCTAATGAGCATATTATGCTTTTATTATTATGGATATCCTGTTAAAGGATGAATATCCAAAATTTATAAAGAACCAAGACAACTCAATACCTAAAAAGCAAACAATTCAATTAAAAACTGGCTGAAGACCTGAACAGGTATTTCTCTGAAGAGGACACATATATCCAATAGACATATGAAAAGATACCCAACATCACTAATCATCAGAAAAATGCAAATTAAAAGCACAATGAGACCACCTCACACCTATCAGAATGGCTACCCTGCCTAGGTAGCTCAGTTGGTTAGAGTATTGTCCCTATATACCAATGTTTCAGGTCAGAGCACAACCAATGAATGCATAAATAAATGGAACAAATCTACTGTATTTTCCCGTGTATAAGACACTTTTGTTCTAAAATCCTTAGACTGAAAATTGAGGGGCATCTTATACATGGAAGTCAGCCAAGGAGGGAACCGTGCGGTGCATAGCTTCCCATACCTTGTCAAACAGGTTTCCTCCAATCATGAGTCTTATTGTTACTGACATTAGCTGATGCTTTAATTGGAGGTGGAGAGTGTGCAGATGCAATAGGGACTGGAGTGTTCTGAGCCCATAAAGATGACAATAAATAAAAAGATAAATACCAGTAAGCGATTGTAATCAGCTATGCAAAAGAGCATGGAAATAGAGCTGCAGAGAGACAATTTGAACCTCCTCCCACTGAGTGTATGATCAGACAGTGGAGAAAACAGGAAGAACTCCTTAAGATGCCAAAAAAGAAGGCCTTAAGAGAAAAACCAGCAACATGTTTAAAATGTTAATTTCTTAATTTTGGGTTAGAAAAGTGGGGGCATCTTATACATGGAAAAATATGGTATGTTTCTCTCTTTCTTCCTCTCTAAAATCAATCAATCAATTTTTAAAGAATGAAATCTTACCATTTGTGACAACTTGGATGGACCTAGAGAGTATTATACCAAGTAAAATAAATCAGACAAAGTCAAAAGCCACACGATTTCACTTAACAAAATAAATGAACAAACAAAACAGAAACTGACTCAAATACAGAGAATAGTTGCCACACAGGGGGGCAGGGATGGTTCAGGGGATAGGTAAAAAAGGTGAAGAAATTAAGAAGTACGAATTGGCAGTTACAAAATAATCATGAAAAGTGAAGTATATCATAGTAAATGTAGCCAATAATGTTGTTATTAACTATGTGTGATACCAGGTGGGTACTAGCCTTATCAGGGGAAATCACTTTGTAAATTATATAAATGTCAAACCACTAGGCTACACACCTGAAACTAATATAAAATAATATTGATTATCAACTGTAATTGAAAAATAAAAATAAATTAAAAAAATAATTTAGGTACTATATGCCTTAATATTTACCTGACTGAACAATAAGAAATAATGTGGGATAGTCTGCCAATTCCACAAACTTTCAAGTTAATAAAAATTAAGCCATAAAATCTCAATATAGTTATGGGGTATGATTGGGAAGATAATCTGCAGTTACTGATCAAAATAGAGAAGTGACAGGTCAGATTTTTCAGCATATTATACTTTTATTTATCGACACAAATTTTTGTGAAATAAGCTGTCCTCACATAGTAAGTCAGTATAACCTTTTACTAAATGGTGAGGACAGCTGTCCATGAAAATTAAACTGACTCAGTGATGTAAGTACTGACTCATTTTATTTTGGATTTCAGACATATTCTTGCCCTTTCTCTATTTAGATAACTCTTTATTACCAGCAGCTGGAGTCCAGTTGTAAAATTATGGAAAATGGAGAAACTTGATCCATCAATTATGATAGACTTTTAACTTCACTAGTAAATAATCTATGGACTATAAGATGTTTTCAGAAATACTGATTTCATTGAGACTTTAAATTATGGCCCAAGAGTTTTATGGGAAATTCAATAAAAGATCTGCTTCAGAACTTTCTATGATTAGTAATACAGAGAATATATGAATTCTTTTAAAAATTATAAGGTAACTTAACAGTACATTCCCACTGGGAACAAAATGCTCTCAATACTATGACTAGGGACACAAAGGAATGGTTCTAAAATATTCTTCACAACATAAAAAGATACTCAAACTGAAAAGGCAACAGATTTGCGTATAAGGAAACTTAACTACAGATGCTTATGAGAGGGCTACATCCTGATAAATCCATAGTAACTTGAAAATATCATTAAGTCGAAAATGGATTTAGCCTCCCAAACATCATAGCCTAACTTAGCCAATTTCTACTGAATGTATATTGCTTTGGCACCATTGTAAGGTCGAAAAATTGTAAATTGAACTATTGTAAGTCAGAGACCACATGTACAGTTTTCATTCTATAAATAACTTGTGAAGTAAAGTCAGTGGACAAAAGAGGAAAATCATTTTTGTTGTATTTCACAATTCTGAGAACTAGAAGTTCTAGGATTTTTAAATCTTTATACTACAGAGCACAATATTGCCAACTATAATAGGGAAGTTCCATTCTCTAGGGTCATTAAAATTTTTTTACCTTTTTTCTTTACTCAAAACATTTACTAAATGGAAAAGGAAACTAGATCAAGAAAATAAATTATTTTGTTTGAAATTTTTCTTACATATGCTTTCAAAGTCATTTAAAAATAAGACCATTTCCTTTGCACAAATTAAGTGCAAATAATTGTTTCTTGAAATGAACAGAAACTTGGTTACCTTTGGAGAAGAGGATACAAAACTACTGAGACAGGTATCATAGGCTTACAGTTTTAACAAAAAACTAAGAGAGGCAATGACCAAATTACAATTTTGATTGGTTTGCTTTGTTATTATTTCTATCTCCCCCAAAACTCTGCAGTGTAGAGCCTATTTCAAATTCTTCTAATAGTCTACTTCATGAGTTAAATATGTACATACTGAATAAAGCAGCAGATATACTGTAATTTTTTAAGTAAATCATTTTACATATTATAGGCTGGAGGCAGTTTAACGTAATGAGGTTCTTGTTCTGAAAAATCTGATGGCAGTATTTTAAAGCTCAGATCACACAGGTTTGTTAGCTCTTGGCTTGTTTCAAGTATTACTGAGCTATACTTGAAAAACATCTTCAACTTCACATTATTTATAGCTGTCCAATTATAAGGACTTCAGCAGTAAAATATGTGAAGTGTAAAGAAGCATGTAATGTTGGTGACAAATGCTTCAGAACACCAGGAATAAGGTTACCAAAAAGCAAAGTAAATCTAGAACAAGGAAAGGAAAGAAGGTACATTTATTTAAAATAAAAATAGCAGACAGTCTCTGATAATAAACAAAACCATTTAGATTCCAAGAACATTCAATATACATTGTAACAATGCATATATATTTAGAAAAGCCAAAGACCCATTAAGTAACTTTATTAGAACTTTAGAAAGGAAAAAAAAAAGTATTTTGGCTCCCTCCTGCTAGAGGTCTGCCTACAAACACGACATGCTGGATCTGCGTCCTCTTTCAAGTGTTCTGTACAGCACAGTATTGCACAATGTGTGCATTCATTCTGTAAATAGTTTCTGAATAAAGTTGCAGTTTCCTCAGGGATAATCCAGAACATGTGAGTGACTCCATTTAATAAAAATCTTTGTAGGCTGGAAGAGCAGTGACAACCGTTTTCCAAAACTTCGCTTTTAACAAAATGTACAAAATAAACTACTAAATCTAGATGCTTTCACATTATTTTGCATGAGTATTAAGTACAGTGTAAAATCTTGAGTTAGCCAAAACTAATGTCTAAACTTTACATCAAAATTTTTCTTCATTCTTTTAGCATGGCTAATAAATGTTTTCTGCCACTCACTACTAATGCTTGTGAAACCAAAGAACTTTGAAAAAGAATATGCACTGCTGAAGAAAGAGAGTACCAAAAATGTCACTGAATTTCAGTCTTAAGATACACACAGTTCCTGTTGGACAATGGACTGTGAAAGTTTACTATCTTCAGTCTTTTCATGTCCTGGGGCATGGCAAGTAGTCTTCCGCTTAAATAATCGCAGACTCAATCGTAATAATTCATTGTCTACCATTGGAGTACTTGTGTAAGCTTGTTTTACCGTGCCCTATTTGGAGAAAACAAAACAAAACAAATGTACATTATTAGTTGACAATAAAAAAGGTTAACTTCTAACAAAAATATAAAAGTTATAAAAAAATTAATTGGGGATGGCTATTAGCTGTATTGGATATCTAACAGTAAAATTAGGAAATGTTTTCAGACTTGAGGAATCTAAGGAAAAAAAGCTATATATATATATATATATTTATTTATATTTTTATTGATTTCAGAGAAGAGGGAGAGACAGAAACATCAAAGATGAGAGAGAATCATTGATCAGCTGCCTCCTGCACAACCCCTTCTGGGGATTGAACCCACAACCTGGGCATGTGTCCTGACTGGGAATAGAACCGTGACCTCCTGGTTTACAGGCTGACACTCAACCACCGAGCCACACCAGCCAGACAAGAAAGCAATCTTTAGAGGGCACCTGGTCTAACTTCTTACCTAATGTAGCAGTCTTCTCAACAATCCCTGACAGGTAACTGACTAGTGTTTACTTCATTTCTAATGAGAAAAAAAAGAACAAAAACACACCACACCACACTGTACAATCTAAGTTGAACAGTACTACTTCTTTTATATGTTGAAATAAAAATCTCTTTTATGGAGCTATACACTAACTCAATCTTCCTTTTACATGATAGTCTTTCAGTTCTCTAAAGAGAAGCACTAAACATTCTACATTCCTTACTGATATGTTAATGCTCCGTAAGATGTGGGCTCTAGAATGGAATAAATCTCCCTTGAACTAAAATGTGTATCTCTATTATGGTAACTTAAAGCTACATTAGCATTTTTGGAAGTTATTGTTATAAAATTTTGTTAAATGTTCTCCAACCATGTGTATCATGAAGTAAAGTTTGAGTATCTCCAGCCTTCTGCCATTTATTTTCTTGCTAGGATCCTTAAAGGAACAGTGTATTCTTTGATCACATGTGCATTTATAAAAATACAGAAAAACTGACTTTTTATGCATAGTTCTGTGAATTATTACTCATGCAAAATCATGACCCGAGACATTTCATCACTGAAAAAAATTCCCTTTGCTGCCTCCTTGTATTCACACCCTCTTTATTCTGTAACCCTTGACAAACAATAAATGTCTGTTATTGTTCCAGAACATCTTATAAATGGAATCATACAGCAAATATGATCTTTTAAGATTAGTTTCTTTCACTTCATCATAATGCCTTTGAAATTCTTCCATGTTGTTGATAGTACTAAAGGCTTGGTTATTTATTACCAATTAGTAAGCCATTGTATGGAAGTGCCACTGTTAGCCAGTTCAACAACACCGGGCTTATTTCTAGTTTTGGAGATTGTAAATAGAGCTGCTATAAACATTTGTGTAAAGGTTTTTATATGAACATAAGTTTTCATTAAAAAACAAACAAACATGTTTTTATTGATTTTAGATAGAGAGGAAGAGAGGAAGAGAGAGAGAGAGAGAGAGAGAGAGAGAGAGAGAGAGAGAGAGAGAGAGAGAGAGAGAGAGATGAGAGAGAAACATCTATCAGCTGCCTCCTGCATGCCCCCTATTGGGGCATGTGCCCTGACTGGGAATCGAACCAGTGACCTCTTGGTGCATGTGAAGATGCTCAATCCTTGGAGCCAATCCTTGGAGCCACACTGGCCAGGCAAGTTTTCATTTTCTAAGGTAAATACATAGCATTGGGATTGTTAGGTAATAAGAAATTACGAAACTCTCTTCTAAAATAGCTCTACCATTTTGTATTCTCACCAGCAATACATTGGAGTTTCAATTGCTCTGCATTCTCACCAAATTGGATTTTTTCAGGGTTGTTGTTTTTTAGCTATTTGTAATAGGTTGTTAATGGTATCTCATTGAAGTTGTAACTGCATCCCCTAAAGTTAATGATGTTAAACATCTTTTCATGTGCTTATCAGACATTTCATCCTCTTTGAAGTGTCTACTCAAGTCTTTCACCCACTGAAAAAATTGGGTTGCTTTTTTCTTACTGTTAATTTTTGAGTTCTTTATATATTCTGGATACAAGTTCTTTTTCAAAATGTGATTTGCAAATATTTTCTCCCAGTATACTTGTCTTTACAGTATCTGTCTGTCACAGAATAAAAATTTTAAACTTTGAAAATAAATTATTTCAAAATAGAAAGTTTTAATTAAAAAACAACAACAGCTTTTAAAACTCTTTCCCCCCAACTGACTGGTCATAAGTGTGTGGGTCTATTTTTGGATTCTGTTTTGTTCCATTGATCTAAGTGTCTATCCCTTCACTAATACCACACCATTTTGAGTGCTGTGGCTTTATAGTAAATCTTAAAATCGGGTAGTGTGAGTCTTTCCAACTTTATTAATCTTTTGTTCATCTTTTTAAAAATTATTTTGGCTATTCTAGTTTCTTTGACTTCCCATGTAAATTTTAGAATCAGCTTGTCTATATCTACAAAAAAAACCTGCTGGAATTTTTACTAGAACTGTTTTAAATCTGTATATCAACTTAGGGAGAATCACAATCTTAACTATATGGAGTCTTCCAATCTATAAATACAATATGCCTCTCCATTTATTTAGGTCTCCTTTGATTTTTTACATCAGTGTTTTGTAGTTTTTAGCACATAGACCCTGAACATTTTGTTAGATTTATACCTAAGCACTTCATTTTGGGGAGCTGTTGAAAAGGGCAATTTTGTTTTCATTTCAGTTCCTAGGTACAGAAATGCAATTGCTTTTTGCATCCTGATTATATCCTGTATCCTTATTATCTCACTTATAAGTTCTAAGGATATTTTTTGGTAAATTACTTTAGCCCTTTTATATAGGCAATTATGTTGTCTGTGATTAAGACAGTTTTATTTTCTTTCCAATCTGTATGCCTTTTATTTTTCTTGCCATACTGAACATACTAGGACTTCCAGTACAATGTTGAATAGGGTAGTGAGAGAGAACCTCCTTGCCTCGCTCCTGTTCGCTGCGGGATATCTTTCAAACTTTAACCATTAAATATTATTATGTTAGCTAAGGCTTTTTTGTAGATACCGTATATAAGGTTAAGACTCCTTCCAATTCCAGTTAGTTGAGAATTTTTACTGTAAAGGAATGCTAAATTTTGTCAAATATTTTTTCCGCATCAACTGATATTGTCATGTATTTTTTCAAGTTTATAATATTAAATCAGCCTTTCATTTTGAAGATAATGCATACTAGGCTGTGGTGTCGTATTCTTTTTAAACATTGCTAAATTTGATGTCTTATTATATTTGAGGATTTTTACGTCCATGTTCAGGAGAGATATTGATCTGAAGTTTTCTTTACTTATGATGTTTCTGTCTGGTTGCAATATCAGAGTTTTGCTGGCCTCATAAAATGAGTTGGGAAGTATTTCTGCCTCTTCAATTTTCTTAGGAAATTGTACAGAATTGGTGTTAATTTTTTCTTTAATGTTTGGTAGATTTTGCCAGTGAAACCATCTGGGGACTGCAGATTTCCTTCTCAGGTTTTGAACTACAAATTCAATTAAAAAAAAACAAACAAACCCAAAAAACAGACATAGCACTTTTCAGGTAATCTATCACTTTTTAAAAAAAATAAATAAATCTTTATTGTTCAGATTATTACAGTTGTTCCTTTTTCCCCCCCATAGCTCCCCTCCACCCAGTTTCTACCCCACCCTCTGCCCTTACCCGCCCCCCACTGTCCTCATCCATAGGTGTACCATTTTTGTCCAGTCTCTTCCCGCACCCCCCCACCCCTTTCTCCCCTGAGAATTGTCAGTCCACTCCCTTTCTATGCCCCTGATTCTATTATATTCACCAGTTTACTCTGTTCATCAGATTTTTTAGTCACTTGATTTTTAGATTCACTTGTTGATAGATATGTAATTGTTGTTCATAATTTTTATCTTTACCTTTTTTCTTCTTCTTCCTCTTCTTAAAGAATACCTTTCAGCATTTCATTTAATACTGGTTTGGTGATGATGAACTCCTTTAGCTTTTTCTTATCAGTGAAGTTCTTTATCTGACCTTCAATTCTGAATGATAGCTTTGCTGGATAAAGTAATCTTGGTTGTAGGTTCTTGCTATTCATCACTTTGAATATTTTTTGCCACTCCCTTCTAGCCTGCAAAGTTTCTGTTGAGAAATCAGCTGACAATCGTATGGGTACTCCCTTGTAGGTACCTGACTTTTTTTCTCTTGCTGCTTTTAAGATTCTCTCTTTGTCTTTCGCCCTTGGCATTTTAATTATGATGTGTCTTGGTGTGGTCCTCTTTGGATTCCTTTTGTTTGGGGTTCTCTGCGCTTCCTGGACTTGTAAGTCTATTTCTTTCACCAGGTAGGGGAAGTTTTCTGTCATTATTTCTTCAAATAGGTTTTCAATATCTTGCTCTCTTTCTTCTTCTGGCACCCCTATAATTCGGATGTTGGTACACTTGAAGTTGTCCCAGAGGCTCCTTACACTATCTTCATATTTTTGGATTCTTTTGTTATTTTTGCTTTTCTGGTTGGGTATTTTTTCTCGTATTTCAAATCTTTGACTTGATTCTTGGGATCCTCTAGTCTGCTGTTGGATCTCTGTATATTATTCTTTATTTCAGTCAGTGTATACTTAATTTCTAGTTGGTCCTTTTTCATATCCTCGAGGGTCTCACTGAATTTATCAGCAGTTTCTAGAAGATTCTTGAAAAACCTTATAACCGTGGTTTTAAACTCGATATCCAGTCGTTTGCTTTCCTCCATTTCTGTCATTTGTGATCTGTTTCTTTGTCTCCGTATTTTGGCTGCTTCCCTGTGTTGATAGAGTGGCTTTGTGTGCTAGGTGCCCTATAGGGCCCAGTGGCTCAGCCTCCCCAATTACCTGAGGTGGACACTCTTGGTGCACCCCTTTGTGGGCTTTGTGCACAGTCTTGTTGTAGTTAAGCCTTGATTGTTGTTGGTATCACTGGGAGAAATTGACCTCCAGGCCAATTGGCTGTGAGAATCAGCTGTGTCTACAGTGGGAGAACTTCTGTGCTGAAGACACCCTTATGGGGCAAGACTTGCTTCAGTGGGGCTTTGGTGCTCACTGAGTCTGCCCCCTGAGTGTGTCCCTTATGGATCTGAGGAGTTGTAATCTGGATGGTCCCACTCTGACCACTGGGTACACGGGCTCTTGGATCTCTAAGGAGGTGCTAATTTAGCCTCTGCCTGAGGCTACCCAGCAGGAGCTACGAAGAGATCTGCAGATTCCTCTTCCTTGTTTGGGGTTTGGAGGTGCTCAGATGAGGCCCAGCTGTGAAGCAATGCAAGCTGCTGTGGGGCCTTGAGCCTTCTTTTGGATGTTCTGGGTCTCTCTGACTCAGCTGCAGTTTGTTAGGTAATTTTAGATCTCAAAGGGCCAGCCCATTCATATGCAAAAGCCTCTGCGCACAGCTTGGGTGGGGCGAGGTCTCAGGGAATCAACAGGGTGGAGGAAGCAGCTATGGCTTCTCCTCAGTCCTACCCTAAGAGGCCCCGCGTCTCAGTGTCCTGAGGTAATCGCTGCAAGCACCTCCGAGAGAAAGCCACCCTTGAGTTCCGATTGATGACAGACAGTCCAGTTTCTCCCCGTATGAGTCTGGGTCCCCAGAGACTCGCCCGGAACTGGAGTTCAGAGCAGTCGGGAGCTTGTGTCTCCCTCCCAATTGAAAAAGACAACCGTGTCCTCAGTTGCCAGCCCTTTCCGCGCGCCTCGGTACCTCTGCACTTTACTTCCGCACCTCCTCTGAGTCTCAGTGTGCTTTTCTCTTTCCTTCTAGTTGTAGAATTTCCACTCAGCCAGCCTTCCTGTGGTTCTGGGTGATGTCTGTTTTGTCTTTAGTTGTAGTTTTGAAGTTGTTGTGCGAGGCAGCAATTTCAGGTGTTTACCTATGCCGCCATCTTGGTTTCTCCTATCTATCACTTCTTGAATAAGTTTTGATAGTTTGTAGCTTTTAGAGGAACTGATTCTTTTCTTCTAAATTGTCAAATTTATGTGCATAGAGTTGTTCACAGTACTGTGTGATCCTTTTAATATTTGTGAGATTTGCAGTGGTATTCCCTCTTTCATTGATATTGATAATTTGAGTTTTACTTTTCACTTTATCAGTATGGGTAGGGGATTGTCAATTTTATTCATCTCTTCAAAGAATCAGCTTTTGGTTTCATGAATGTTCTCTTGTTTTTCCAGTATGAATTTTATTGATTTCTGGTATTATTTCCTTCCTTTTGCTTGATACAGGTTCTGTACATTCTTTTAATACTACAATGCAGCTAAGAGTTCTTTTAGTACCCTTCACCTATCTTTTCTGCTATGAATTATAATTTAGATACTTTAAAAATCATTCTCCTAAATATAATCATGCCAATTTACGGGGGGAGGGGATCAATGGTTTTCTACTTTCTTTTTGTCACTTGGTACCCCTTACCTCCTATTCTGTACTTTTCTTTCATAGTCAATGGCCTGTGCCCCGTATGAAGGACTATAAGATTCTGAGCAATGGTTCTCAAGAAATTTTCAGGGGCATTTTTGGTTATCAAAAATTTTGAAGCCATTATGGCATATTAAGAGAAGGAAACAGGGAATGTTACAAAATATTTTTTAATAAAAAGGGGCAGGCCCTGGCCAGGTGGCTCAGTTGGCTGGAGTGTCACCCATACTCCAAAAGAGGTTTGCAAGTTCAATTCCAGGTTAGGGCATATATCTAGGCTGTGAATTTGATCCTTGGTTGGGGCACATATGGGACGCAACCAATCGATGTCTCTCTCCCTCTCTCAATCTCTGTCTCTCTCTATCTCATCAATAAAAACATACCCTCAGGTGAGAATAAAATAATCTTATATAATAAAAGGGTAATATGCAAACTGACCCTAACAGCAGAACGACTGGGAATGTCTGGTCACTATGACACACGCTGACCACCAGGGGGCAGACGCTCAATGCAGGAACTGCCCCCTGCTGGTCAGTGCGCTCCCACAGGGGGATCTCTGCTCAGCCACAAGCCAGGCTGACGGCTGCCAGTACAGCGGTGGTGGTGGGAGCCTCTCCCGCCTCCTCAGCAGCGCTAAGGATGTCCGACTGCAGCTTAGGCCTGCTCCCCGCTGGCAAGTGGACATCCCCCAAGGGCTCCTGGGCTGCCAGAGAGATGTCTGACTGCCAGCTTGGGCCCAATCCCCCAGGGAGTGGGCCTAAGCCAGCAGGTGGTCATCCCCTGCGGGGTCCCAGACTGCGAGAGGGCACAGGTCAGGCTGAGGGACCCCCCGAGTGCACAGATTTTTGTGCACCGGGCCTCTAGTAAATAAATAAAAAGATACACAATTCTGATTAGATTAAAATCCATAGAGTCTTTCTCAAGTGGGGTTCCTTACATGAACTAAACATAAACAAAAAATAGTTTGCGTGATTATATTTTATTTAAATACCAAGGATGATATAACTATTACCATTTTAGATGCATAAGATGTTGATTCGGCCCTAGCCGGTTGCTCAGTGGTTAGAACGTTGGCCCACGGACTAAAGGGTCGCAGATTTGATTGAGGTCAAGGGCACACCTCGGTTGCAAGCTCATCACCACCCCGGTTGGGGCATGTGAAGGTATTATTGTTTCCTTCAATCAATGTATCTTTCTCACATTGATGTTTCTCTCTCTCTGTCTCTCCCTCTCCCTTCCACTCTTTTTAAAAATCAATGGAATCCAGCTGGCATGGCTCAGTGGTTTAGCGTTGACCTATGAACCAGGAGGTCACAGTTTGATTCCCAGTCAGGGCATATGCCGGGTTGCTGGCTTGATCCCCAGTGTGGGGCATGCAGGAGGCAGCCAATCAATGATTCTCTCTCATCACTGATGTTTCTCTCTCTCTCTCCCCCCCACTCTCCCTTTCTGAAATCAACAAAATATATTTTTAAAAAAATCAATGGAAAAAATATCCTCTGGTGAGAATTAAAAAAAAAGAAAGAAAGAAAAAAGAAGTTGATTCAGTATATACAGGTTTAGGGCCCTAGCACTTGATTCTCTCAGAGAAATTTCCAGTTGAGGAAGGCTGCAAGGAGAGATGAGTACTTAAGCAACAGAATAAAGATTACTAGGTACATACTGAAATGGGAGTACAAAGGAGAGAATGATTGTAGCAACTCTGTCGAAAGTAATTTTCAGTCAGGTCGTTAAGCTGAGAAGACTTTAAAATTTTCCTATTCCTTATATCTGTTTCCATTTAATGTTTAGAGATGAGTTCATCCCTCTCTTTCTCATAAATTTAATGTCCTCCACAAATCTGAGTATTTTTCTTTAATGAAGTATCTTTTATTTAGCAATGTTTTCCTTAATGTTTACAAGTAAAAAGTTAACAAATTAAATGCTTATCTAAATTTTTAGGACCAACTTTCTTTTGTCACATTACCCATGCCCACCAAATCACATTCCCAAATTAAAATCCTTAGCTTCAAAAAGTCTAAAACATTTTCAATTTCTAATGATCAGATCCCTTCTCAATCTAAACTAATTTCTATTTCTCTCATATTTCAATTCCCTTTATTCTTCTCAAGTAAATGCTTACATATAATCACTTGTATTTATTTCCCTCTCTTTCAACTTGATACACTCTCATAAATTCTATAAATATTCTCACCATATTCTGGGGAATATTTTTCCTTAACCCTCAATTTAAATAAATTTCTAATATGTTTAATTATCTAAAGAAACTTTTCACAATGAAATGAAAAATATTTAAAGCAACCAAATGAAAAGTATGTAATTCATAATACTCAACAAACACTTTGCATTTGTACCAAAACAATAATACCTTCTCATTTTTAACAAGCTGCTTTCGGATTGCTGAATCCCGTCTGAAGCATAATGCTTTACAACATGGTCCAAGATTACTAAGAAGACTTGCTCTTTCTTCTTTTCGTAGTAATGCAGCCATATTGAGAGCCCCCAATTCATGTTCAAAAAGATTGTCTGCATCTTTTAAAAACCAAAAACACACATTAAGTTTTCCTAAAATATAAAAGTAATACTGCTTAGATGAATATTCCACAGTCTGTACTTCATCAAAGTTACCAACATTGATAAAAATTATTTTACATTAAAGGCGATATATTCTCTGTGAAAGTTATTCAGTGTGTAGTTTTGTTGCTAGTCTGAAACAAAAATAAACTTTTTGACAGCCACTTTAAGTTTAAGGTACAAGAAAAGCAGACTCGGAAGCGAGAATTTAGACACTGATTACAACTATTAACTAGGAAGAAAAGATCAAGTTAAGAATTAATGAAGTCAAATTCAGAATATTGCACACCATCAACAACTACTTAAAGTTCTAGATTTCAGGACCTTACTGTAGCAAGATTCAAATGTAATAATATGACTACAGTCTGTGATCTCTTAAAAAACCAGTTAGGAAGTGATTAGGTGTTAGACAATCTGCAAATTTTATCCTACATTTTGGTCACTATAAAATCCTGGACAATGTATTAAATTAAAATACTTAGTTTTAAGTCAAAACATGCAAGATAGGGAAACATTATAACAGAATAGAGCCAGTCAATAATCAAAATAAATTACAGACTAAGCAATAACTTCACAGCTAGCATTCTAAGAATTGGCCAAGAGTGCCAAAGGTACCAGGTACTGCTTCTATAACAAGATGATCCAATAGGTTAATGTTAGAGCCCACAAAGAAAAGCAGTAAATAACACATAAGTAAAAACAAAACAGACACCTTTGATTGAAACAGCATTAAATATTTCATTCTCATTTTCTGAACTGTAAAGCACAGTGAGATTAGATAATTAACAAAAACCTAGTCTCAGACAATATACTTAGCAAATAAGTTATATACATAGTCAATAGGTATATGATATAAGAAAAGCTTCCACAGCTGGACCAGGATACCTTATAGGCAAAGAAGGCAGTTCCTCAGGTGATTCTGAGATACAAATGTCTGAGCCAAACAATGACAGTCACATATGTATACCATTAAAAAACAACAAAAAAACCCCATTAACTACCATTCCATTATAGAAGAATTTGCAAGGAGACCCATGCTATCCTTGAAAATTGCTCAAGACAAATTTCTTTGTATAGGAATTCTTAACACATACTTGTAAACCTCCCTAGACTGATTAAACACATACTTAAGTACAAGCAGAACAAAGGAAACAAAATAATTGGAAAAGTGTAACTCAAAAGAATCTAATCATACTACAATGAGAAAACCTAGAAAAAAGCAATTTAAATGTTAGTATATTGTTGACCCTTGAACAAGGTGGGAGCTGGAGGCGGGGAGTGCCAACCCGCTGCACAGTAAAAAATCTGCCTATAACTTTGACTCCCGCAAAACTCAGTTGTTCCTTGGAATCCACAGGGGAATTGGTTCCAGGATCCCCCACAGGTACCAAAACCCAGAGATGCTCAAGTCCCTTATATAAAATGGCGTAGAACAATGCATCCATGGATTCCTAACTGTGGATCAAAAATACTGCTTTTTCACCCGAGGTGACTGTATGTATATTGAAAAATCCACATATAAGTGGACCCACACAGTTCAAACCTGTGTTGCTCAACAGTTAACTGTGAATACAATAAGTTTTATACTTTAAGAATTTAAGGTTCCTGGAATATTTTTAAAAGTTACATATGGTGCTGCCATATGGTGCTGCCCAGCTGGCTCAGTGGTTGAGCATCGACCTATGAACCAGGAGGTCAGGATTTGATTCCTGGTCAGGGCACATGCCCACGTTCTGGGTTCAATCCCCAGTGAGGGGCATGCAGGAGGCAGCTGTTCAATGATTCTCTCTCATCATGATGTTTCTGTTTCTCTCTCTCTTTCTCTCTCTCTCTCTCTCTCTCCCCCTCTCCCTCTCTCTCTCTCCCTCCCTCCCTCTTTCCCTTTCTCTCTGAAATCAATAAAAATATATTTTAAAAAAATTGCATATGGTGCCCTAGCCGGTTTGCTCAGTGATTAGAGTGTTGGCCTACAGACTGAAGGGTCTTGGGTTTGATTCTGGCCAAGGTCACCACCTACCTAGGTTGCAGGCTCAATCCCTGGCCCTGGTCGGGGCACGTGTGGGAGGCAACCAATAGATGTGACTCTCTCACATCGATGTTTCTCTTTCTGCCTCTCTCCCTCCCTTCCACTCTCTAAAAAAAATAAATCAATGGAATATGCTCGGGTGAGGCTTAACAACAAAATTACATATGGAATGTGGGGATTGGGGCACTGAAATAGACCCAGTAAAATAGAAAAATTGGTATCAATTCTTTCACAAATATTTATTGAATACCTACTATGTGTCAGGTAGTTTTCTAGGCATTGGCATAATTAGTAAGAACATATCATTAGACACTGGATAGAGCAGTAAACAAAACTAAGTTCTATTTCTTAGAAAACTTATATTCAGCATCCTATGTCAGTTCTCTAGCAAAGCAATCATAGCAAAATATAGGACTGGTAAAGAACAGTGAAATCCCTCTCTACAGCGTGTATTTTCATTATTGAGAGTAAGCCAGGGTCAAACTGTATATTATAATTTGCAAAATTATAATATAATTTCAAGATTTTAACTTGAAATGCCATTTGCAAAAGTCACAGGAGTCAAAGGTGGATAAGACCTTAGAGGTTTCATTTCAACATTTTATGCTCATAGGAGTTACTTGCTTAAGATCACAGAGCAACCAAAAACGGTAGAAAGAGTAGAGCAATAACCTAAGACTTCGGTCACCTGTCAGGCTATACACATTCACAATTATAATTTAAATATGTTTCATACACATACATTCTATGTTTACTGAAAAATATTAAAATCAAGAGTTTTACTGATTGTTAGCAGTTGAAAGGACATGGATTCATGAAACTCTTAAAACAATTTTTTAATATTAATAAAAAGCTTAATTCTTTTAACTAAACATTTTTACTCTCATGAACATTATATAAAAGTAAATACTGTTACTTTCATCTTTTACCTCCTTTCCACACGCCCTCCTCATTTTTGTCTTGATAAGGTCTAAAATCAATGTGATAAAATAGTTTCAAATTAAGGGGTAGCAGTTAATATTTACTGAGTGTTACAACACATCAGAAACTGTTGTAAGTATTTTACTTGTAATAACTCATATGTTCCTCCTAACGATCATATGAAGTTGGTGGTGTCATTGTTCCCAGCTTAAGATGGTGACACTAACACAGAGAGATTAAATAATAGCTAGTAAGGGGTATGTCTATTGGAATCCAGACCATTTGGCCTAAAGACCCAGTTTTTAACAACTTTTTTAAAGGTTCAGCCTACACAACTGTATTTGGGTAGAATTCCCCATTTCGCAGGAAAAAGGGTTGCCAAGAAATCCATTTTGCTTAGATATGGAAATATCTAGTCTATTTCCCTATGCTCTGCTTCATTTAGCCCTGGTGAAACAATTGAGTAATTTGTTCAAAGTAATTTTGATACAAAAAGATAATTATGCTATTTTCACAACTTTTCTATGAGCGTAACTTTTTCTCAAAATAAATTTTAAAAAGAAATTCTCTCCATGAGAATTAAATGATGAATAAGTGGTTTCTCAAAAAAAAAAAAAAAGATAAATCCAATATTACAATATTATTAGTGTTACATAAGAACAGAACATAATCCTTTCAAAGGCATCTTAGTATTTATAACACACAATGTACAATCAAAGTAGAATAGAATTACCTTTGGGTTTTTCTAAGAGTCTCTGACATGTTTCTTTGACTTTAGTAAAGAGTTCAGAACCTGCCAGCTTTTTAGAAATCCCAACTCTCAGCATAACAGCTCCAGGTGTAAATTTTAAGAGTGCAGCCCCAGGCTCTCGTGGTTCTTTTGGATGCTTTGGCATAAGACCAGACCAATCCACATCTATCACATCTAATGGATCTGTAAAAAGTTAAAGAACAGGAATATTTTTACATGAAGAAATAGTATTCTTGTTATCTAGAGAGAAATACAAATTGCAAAACATAAAAAACCATTAAATAATACTTTAAACCAAAAATGTCATATTCTTAAGATGAAAGCTTTCTAGGAACACTCATATTTAGAATCTAAGGACCTTTACAAAAAACAACAGAACTTTCTCACCAAAAGAAAACAGGCAAGCAAACAAAAACCCAAGCAAGTTCATTCCTACAAATTGCTTGAGAGATCCCAATGAAAGAACTCCATTATTTCACAAAGAATAATAGGTCTGACATTTTGAAACTTGGTATCAGAATTCTTTCACAGGTTAAATCTAGGAATCTATTTTGCATCCATGTGCACACACACATGCATGCACACATTTTACTTTTTAAAAACAATTCATTATGAAATTACTTTATAACTCGGGCAGTTGCTCTTATTAAGAACAAATAATCCATCTATGACAAGGAGTAGTTGAGCAAATTAACAAAATAATGTTCTATTTAGAAATACACAGTAGCCAGTAATAAAGATAATAATCATACAGACCTTCTACATTAGTAAAAAAAAAAAAAAAACAACGTGAAATATAAGAGCAAATTAAAAAAAAATCAAATGTAATATTCTACATTCTCAGACAAAGCAAAGACCCTCACTATGATTAAAAACAAACTCCAAAACTTGTTATTAACAACCAGACTAAATGGGGTGATTGATATAGTCAACAAAGTAAGCTCTGGCAAGGCATAAAGTTGTGTAAGTGAAAATAATTACTGAATTTAGAAAATTGATAGAAAGAGGTATAGAAATAGTGCTCAAATATAATTTCAACTATTATAAATTTCTGAACAATCATTTCCACAGTTGGTTTAAGGCACCACAGTTGTGAAGCTCTGTACCATATACCTACTATCTAGAATACTGCCAGAAAATCAGGACTATTTGGCTAGATTCCAAGTTATATAAAATATGAATCTTAAACTCTGAAAAGGAAATCTTACGATTTTGCTATTTTAAATGAGGCCTTTCCCAATTCAAAGTCTACTTAAAAATGAACAAAGCATTTTTATTGACTATAATTATTGATAATTACTACAATTTTCATTTTACTGGACTGTCAATGTTAATTAAAACATAAAGGGGGAAGTTCTAACTGACTTTATTCAATTCTTATAGCACGAAAGGGAACAAAAATATCTTCATACCATAAATCATATAATTTTGTGATCAACCACCTCTGCAAATGATTACCTGGCATCTTCTCCTCATCCTGCTGGTCCTCCCTCTTTTCAGCATCACCTGCCAGAATTTCATCTAGTTCATCATCACTGATTGGCTCATATCCTTCTCCAGCACCTGATCCTAATGAATGTGCATCATCTAACTTGGATTCATCATCTCCTGCTAATTAGAAAAATTAATCTCATGTCAAAGGGAGTGTTAAGGGAAAGAATGTCTAAGTCAAAACAAAGATGTAGAGGCTGTGTCATTAAAAAAAAATCAGAAAAGTACTTTCACAGAAAATGATATTTCTTAATTATTCAAAACACTTGAATAAAAAAAAAACCTGAAGAAATATAACTCAATTAGTCAAATTTAATTTTAATGGCAAGAACACCATAGGAACAGCCATATTAAAATAGGTTATAACTGTTAAAATATGTGAAATAGAAGCTAACATGTTAATGTTGATTATATAACATATAACATAATTTTATATAGTAAAACTTTAAGTAAATCCAGACAAATATACTAACTTCAAAAGGATGCATTAATTGCTTTACTTAAACTCATGTTTTTATTGATTTTTAGAAAAAGTAAGAGAGAGAGAAACATTGATGTGGAGAGAAACATCAATAGGCTGCCTTCCCACACAGGCCCTGACTGGGGATCGAACCTCCAACCGAGGTATGTGCCCTGACCAGGAAATCAAACCTGCAAACTTTTGGTGTATAGGATGACACCCTAATCAACTGAGCCACCTGACCAGGGCAAACCTCATTAAAAACTTGCAAACATGTTAATAAAATTTAGCTCATATAAATGACTTTATAGCAGTGAGGTAAAAATATAAAAGTGCTATTAATTCTCCCCCTAAATCCCAATTTACCTTCCCTATCCCAACATTATTCTTTAATTAATGAACATAACTTTATAAAGAATGCTATAATACAATTTTAAGACATTTTTATTAGTACCACTGGTATATATTCTACTTCTTGATTTCACCAACTTTTCTCAACCATTTATTCCCCTGGTGAGTTAGTTGTGAACTTAAATTATCTTAAAATTACAGAGTACATTTAATGTTTCTAATCATTAGTTATCAATATACTTTATTAAGTTTATAACATGAGTTTTCAAAATGCAACAGTATGCTTTATAAATATTTGCAGCAAATAAAATATAATAAACTATGAGGTGTTTCTAAACATTCTAATAATTTTCTATTCTATTAAATTCTATAATAATTTCCCCATACCCTCACCAATTCAGTTATAAGACAACCAATTTTAATAACTTCATTATATAAATATACATTTAAACAAGTGCAAATGATAGGATTTTTCAATTTTCAAGTTTATCCAACTCATTTTCCTACTTTAGATGAATAAAATGTTTCATCTCACAGTAGGTAATTCACCTCTATATTTCTATGCTATGTTATCAATGACCACAACCAATGAATGATACAGTTTTAAAAAAGGGTCACAAGAGAACTATTATAATCATTAGTTCAATTATATTCAATTACGTACCTCCATTATTATTATGGCTCCCAAACTGATGCTATCTGAACTCAAAATTGAGAGGAAAATGTAATTGAAGAACGCTGAATGTTTTTGTCAAGTAGAAAAATGTGTAACAGATGACATATTGGGATATTAATTCAGATAACCAAAAGATGTAAGGATGTTTCATTTTAAAAGAATGTGAATTTATTCTGGGCCCAATGCTACAAGATGGCCAATAAAATATTACTGTTTATATTCTAAGTATACCAGAAGTTTCTTTGGGGGCTTGAAGTAGACAGATTATGAGAGAACAATGTTGTAAGCACTGGTATCAGAACTAGACAGTGCCATGGAGACAGAATTTCCAGGAGAATTCTCAGGGGAGCCATACTATTCTTACCTAGGCTATAATTTACCAAAGAATAAAATGTAGGGCATGTATGTATAATCAAAATACATTTTCATTTATCTACCATTTATTGTGTCTTTGCTATAGTATCGATGATAAAAAAATGAAAAGCTAAGGTCCTTTATAATTCTGGAGAGAAATCCAAATAATTATAAAATAAGTATAATAGAGTGCAGGGATGCCGTAAAAGATGTATAAATAAAGCGCCATGTTAATTTTAAAGAGTTAAGACTTTAGCAGAGGAGGCTTCTTAGAATAAATAATCCATAAACTGGGACTTGCAGTTTGAGTTAAAAAGAGAAGATAAAAAGGAAAACATCTATGAGATAATGAGAAAAGCAGGTGCAAAGAAGGCTAAAGAATGCAACCCATTCAGAGAATGCAGAGGCATGAGTCAGTCTGTATAGCAGACTGGGGGTGAAGGACAAAGAGTGATGTTCCACACAGCTAAGGCTGGCTCTGAGTGAGCTAAAAGGCTGATGTGAACTGTTCAGGGTTCCACATTCTAGGAATGGGGAGCGCAAATAGTATTCTATAGTCAATCTGTCATTAAATGCCATTTCAGGTAGTGTTATTTTCATATGTATTTCTTCTCAACTGCCATAGAAACAGAAATAATAGTTTTTTTAATCCTTTTCAGAACCAAGAAGTCACTTCAATTTTTATGATTTCTTCTATTTTTTTTTTAATATCTACAGACACTGCATCTAATAATCTTTTATTTTATTTAGGTTTATTTGAACTAAGTCTGCCTTGATAGTAATATGAGGAGAATAGATTTTTTTTTTCTTATTTTTTTTTTTATTTTTTTTTAGGGAAAGTGGAAGAGAGAGGGAAAGACAGAGAGAAACATTGATATGACAGAAACACATTGATTGGTTGCCTCCTGCACGAGCCCCGACCAGGGCCTAGGCTGGGGAGGAGCCTGCAACCAAGGACTGTGCTCTTGACCAGAATTGAACCTGGAACCCTTTGATTCACAGGCTGACGCTCTATCCAATGAGCCAAACCGGCTAGGGCAAGGAGAACACATTTTAAAAATATGCCTTATAAAATCTATTTTTCCTTAAAATAATGGAGTCAGTAGGTTACCTTTTAAAACACTGGTTTTCTATAAAATCTGAAAAGGAATGGAGCAGTATAACAGACAGTAAGGTGTGACTCACCTTCTAGACTCTCAGTTCTTCCAGCTTTATTTATATCTTCAAATCCCTGTATGGATGCTACATCTTTATCCATTCTTTCTTTATCCAAAGCTACAGAGTCTCGAGAAGTGCCTTCTAGGTCTCTTTCATGTTCAGTCTCCACTTTTGCTTCACTGCGTTTTACAGACTCTGCTTGAGAACTATCAAAAATTCTGTCTCTGTCTCTGTCCCTTTCCACAGAATCAGAAATTAGTCTCTCTCTTTCCCTGTCCACGTCTCTCCTTTTGTCTCGTTCTCTCTCTCGTTCCCGTAATCTATCTCGGTCCCTGTTACGCGACCAGTCTTTATCAGCATCTCGATCCCATTCTCTCTGCCTTGTATCTCTCCTCTCTCTTTCCCTGTCTCTATCGTGCTCATACCGATCACGTTCTTGAAGCCGATCTCTGCTATCAAATGACCCAGATCTTGAATGAACCTGTCGATCTGACTCAGGAGAACTTCTTCTTGAACTATGGCTTCTTGAATCCTGGCGATCTAAAATAAATATATCATACACAAAGAGTTAACATGATAAAATAGTAATAATATACTTCATTTTAGGGTCCTTTAAAGTTTACAATTTATCTTTTTCTATATTTATTCCCACTATTCAAAGAACTCATTTAAGGAAAAACTGATCTCTCAAAGTGCTAACTGAAATATGTAAAACACATGTTTTCTTGTCTATTATCACTATAACCACAAAATAACTTCAAAGAAGTAAGTACATAAAATGATTGCACATTAACAGAATCATCACTTCATTATCTGATCTCTTCTTATCCCCCTACTTTATTCTCTGTGGTCAAAAGAGAATGAACTGACTCTTGGAAGAGCAGAAAGGTTAAAATTTTAGGCATGAAAAAATGAGTTGAATACATAAGCCCTTTCACCAAGATATCCTACTAAAATCTTGATATTAAGCAGACTGACATCACTGAGTGTACCTTTATTATAATATTGATATTAATGTGGTAACAGGTAACATTTTGGAGGGATGGTTAAACTTCTATTTTAAGTTCCTTGAAATTTAGGACAGCGAGTGAAGTAATAAATTTAGCATTTACTTTAAAATTATAATTTGTACAAAATATGTTAACACAGGAAACACCAGCTAGATCATATTTCAATTTATTACCTGAAGAAGTACTTCGACTGGGTTCTCCACGCTTTAACTGATCAATCCTTGATTTTCTCTCTCCTGAGACTTCCAAGCTTTTTGTTTTTTCTCTGTCTCTTGAGCCACTATGCAGTACTCTCTTTCGACCACTTTGGTCATCTCCACTTCGATGGGCCGAATCACTGGACGGGGAACGTAGACGACCAGATGTATGACTACGATTACTCCGATTACTTCCAAGGCTGCTACTCCTCTTTTGATCCACTGGTTTGCGATGTGATGCATCTTCTATAGTAACATGAGGTGCCTCTACTTTTTCGGCTCGTGTTTTATGGCATTTTCTATGAGAGTCTTCACTTGTATTGGTGGGGATGACAGAAGTAGAAATAGTGGTGGCACATGGGCTGAAGGTGCTGATAGCAGTAGCAGTAGTGGCAAGAGTAGCAGAAGCAGTCATAGTAGGAGCTGTAGCCACAGGAGGAGGAGGAGGGGGAAGGGAAGATGGAGAAGAAGTCCTTCCAGGAGCAGCAGCTGTGGCAGCATGCTCTGATTCTGTCAACTCTGCACGGTCAGGCACATCCTCATCAGACCAGTCACTAAACGCTGTATCTTCTTTTCTCTGAGGATCTTCTATAGTCAAATCCTTATCATTGGAAATTTCAACCAATCCCTCTTTGGTTGTTATAGGGGGAGTCCGGGGGCCTCTTTTCTTCTTACTCTGCTGGACTGCTTCTTCATCAGAAATATCAGAATCACCTCTGGATCTCTTATGTTTTTTTTCAACACTTTTCTTCTTCTGTCCTTTTTTTGGTGAAAATACTTGACCATCTTCAGATGCTGTCTCTGTGTTAGCCCTCTCTATTCCAACATCATCCTCTTTCTTTTTCTTAATAGGTTTCTTTTGAATTTTTGCTTTTTTCTTGTTTTCATCATGAGCTCCATCAGAAGTATCACGGTCTTCAGATGGGTGGTGTCCTAGCATGTCTTGTGCTCGAATTCTTGAGCTTTCTGTGATTTCTGTCTGTTCTCTCTGCTTATCTACAGAAGAAACTTTCTCTTTGAGCTCTTGCTCTTCATAGCGCCTTGAACTCTCTTTTCTTTCTGGTTTACGATCTTCCTCTTTCCATCTACCCTGCCTGTCTTCTGGAAAGTGTGATGGACTGAGGGAATGAGAATCTTGAAGTCGTACAACCTGGCTCAAGAGTCTGTGTCTTTCATCTACTCAAACAGATAAAAGTAATTAAACTTTCACCAAATTAACAAACTTTCATGTAACATATAACTAATAATAAACCAATCTTTTATTTTCATTTTAAAACTTGAAAAATGGCAATCATTTTAGTAATACGGCTTTTCTGCAAATAGTAGGAAATGATAATTCCATTGTGATAAAATAACTATTTCTAACATATACTTTACTCACACTGAAGACATTCAGAGGCAGCAAAAGAAAAAATTTAAATCTGAATCCATTACTTCCTACTAATGTCAAAGAGTAGTCTCATGGTTACAAATGAATATGAATATAGAAACACAGAAAACAGACTCTGCTTACTTTTATCATCTCCACTGTTGTAGTTGTCACTGTCAGGAGAATGTTCTCGTCGCCGCTTAGGTGACTGACGAGGGCTAAGACTCTCTTCATTTCTATAGCGCTTCCTAAGTTGGACAAACAAATGTAATTCATAAAAGTCTAGGAGTTGTAAAGAGATTTCTTTACTATTTTTTTTTTTACTATTATTTCTTCACTATACTAGAATAATTGTAGGATAGCAATATTGTCAGCGCTATATCATACAGTCAGCATCTTTAATAAAATGAAGAACTTCATTTGCTATGACTTATAATTGTGAACTTAAAAAAATACATAGCAACACATCTTCCTTTTTTCATTATACATGTAGAATCACTAAACTGAAAAGCACTAGATATAAATACTGCAAGATGGAAAGCATGCAGCAGAAGAATCAAAATATTCACGAGCACTCTACTAAAATTTATTAATTAATTTTATACTTCTGTACTGTTGGGAAGCCAAATGAAAAAAAATATTAGCTTAAAAGTCAAAAGACAAGTTAAACTTATAGCCATGTTACTTATTACTAGTATGCAACCGTAGGTATGTTCCTTAAAGTCGTTGAATTTTAGCTTTCTCACCTGAAAATGGGGGAAAAAACAAGGGTCCATACCATAAAATTGTAATGAGGAATAAATTAGTTATGTTGTAAGCCCAGTGCCAGGCATGTTATGTAAAAATTAGTTCCTTTTCTTTTCTTAGAACTAAAGCACTTGCTTGGTGAAAATTAATAAAATAATTCATATATTCATTACTTTTCTTGTTCTTCCACTGATTTTAAATGAGTAGTGATTCATATCTCTGGGTACTTAGGTAATTCTGGTGTTTTCCTACATGTTCATTAAATTTTGACCAACTATTTTTTAATAACATTGTTTGTTAATAAATACTATGTTCAAAAGTTGTGACACATATCGTAGCACAGTTATTTCCTTGATAGCTCATTTTTATAAATGAGCAACCAGGTGGAGAAGGAGGCCTCAGATGTAGTATGACAATTTACAAACCCAACCTTGTGCAATTTATTATCTGAAGCACCGCCCATCTTCAGGCAGTATACTTTCCCATTCTTTGAATCTAGGTTGGCCCAGTGACTTACTATGACAAGAGAATGTTGTGAAAGTGACGCTGTGTAAGTTTGGAGAGATAAGACTCAAGAGGCCTTGCAGCTTCTGCTTTTGCCTGCTTGGTATGTTTCTACCATCATATGTAAAAGCAGAATTTAGGCTACTGGTGGATAAGAAGTCATATGAAGGAAAAATGAGATGGCCTATTTAAATGAGATGGCCTAGCAACTGCCAGACATGTGAGTAAGGCCATTTGGAGTCATTCAGACCCAAGTGAACTGCCATACTGACTGTAGAAACATGACTTATCCCAAGTGAAACCAGCAGAACTGCTCTGCTGAGCCCAGCCAAAATTGCTAATCCACAGAATCATGAACAAAAAAATTGTTTTAAATTATGCAAGAGATAACCGGTACACTAGAATGAAGTGAAAATTTAAAACATGCAAAAAATAGACCTTAATTTCAAAACAATATCTACAGAAACGAAAGTAAAGTAAAATTATCCTCATATAAGTAGTTACTGAAGTCCTTATTAATGCTTGGATTGTCTAGCCACAAAAAACAACAACAACAACAACAACAACACACACACACACACACACACACGAAAATTTTTGCTATTATAAGCAGAGAACAGAAGCATGGAAAAATATTAATCAAAGCATAAGACTGCATATTAAACACAAAATAGATTTCAGAATTTTAATATTAGAAAAGAGCTAAAGAGGTCAGAGGAGATACGAGAAATAATATGTATTGTGTGCTACACGTGTTAAAAGTAGTATATGAATTTTATGTTAATGTAAGATTTTTTTAAAAAAATGAGGGTGAATTATAGAAAATCTTGGCTGCATATTGAAGGGAAGCCAGGACCTAATGAAAGAGGCCTTCATTTCTGTACTATGTTGTTTCTCCATAACCATAACCCATAATAGTAATGATGAAAAAGCCTAAAGCATGGAGCCGGAGTCTGTCTTTAGCAAGAGGCAAATATTATCTTTTTCTAAGATAGTATTTTTTACAAAGCAGTTAACTTCCAATTTGGTTTTGTGCCTGTAAAATCTCAAAAACAACCAATCAGAATCCAAAGTTTTCATGGCCAAAGTGACTGGCTTGGTTCCCTTGTCTGCTCCTCAACTAATCAAAGCCCCCAATACAGAGGGTTGCTAAGCTAACTGGTATAACCATGGGGCTGTCTTAGCCATCATTTGGAGAAAACCTTTCTGAGACTGGAACTAGCACAGAAGAAAACAGTGGAGGAATGAAGGTATACCATTCCTGATGCTTTGAGACTGTGGATACATCAGAACAAATGAAAGGTAATCCTAGATTTCCCAGATACTTGAGCAAATAAATTCATTTTAGTTAAAAAAAATAAAGGGGAGGGGGAGGCGGGGGGGAGAAAATGCCTTCAAGTATACTTATGAATAAGAACACATTTTTGTTCCTAATTATCTCTATACTCCACATCTCAAAAGAGGATACCTCTCTATCTTTCGCCTTTTTCTAGCTCTGCAGTGGTTACAGAAATGCCCTCAGTTCTAAGACACTGTGAATGTTTCAGTGGCCTGGAAGTAGTGAGTCCAGATTTTCAGTATGCAAATCTCATGAAGAATTATTAGGAATAGCACAGGCAATATCTCTTGGTAACTGATCAACTCCATAACTAGTTATAAAGTGAATGTGATGGGAAAAAATTAAGTTTAATAATTTTATCACTTTTATGTTGGTTTCCTATTAAAAACAGTTCTGAAGTAGGTGAATAAGCTTATGTGCCATCAAAAATGTAAATTAAATAAGAATAATTAATTACAGCCCCTGGATTAAGAAGTACAAGAATAAAAAAACTATTATTTTCCAGACAATTAAAAAATTTTTAAACACAAAATTATATAATAAAATTGAAATACAGAAACGTGTAGAGAGGAAAAAAAATTAACAAGCCATTAGGGGCACACTAAAAAGCATTAAATAAAATGTTTTTAATTCTTTACTGAGATGTAACTTAAAAATCTGATTCACATCTCTCTCTCTCCCCCAATTTTTTTTGGGGGAGGCAACCAAAATTTTTGGTGGGGTGGCCTAAAAAGAAAAGAAAAACAAAAAACTGATTCATAACTCTTACTTTGATTTTCTCTCATCGTGTCCATCTCTTAGATTCCTGTCTTCTCGGACATCTTCTCGCTTTTCTCTGCGGTCCTCTCGTCCTTTGTCTTCCCAATCCCTCTGACGTTCTCGTTCTTTATCCCTTACTCTTTCTCTTTCTCTTTCCCGCTCTCTCTCTCTCTCCCTCTCCCGTTCTCGCTCTCTCTCCCTCTCCCTTTCTTCTCTCTCTCGCTCCCGTTCTTTTTCCCTATCTCGCTCCCTCTCTCTTTCTCTCTCTCGGTCATGGTCACGATGATCTCTTTCACGGTCTCTCTCTTTTTCTCTTTCTCTTTCCCTCTCCCGTTCCCTAGCCCGCTCTCTTTCTAGTTCTCTTTCTCTTTCTTTTTCTCTTTCCCGATCCCGCTCTCTGTCTCGCTCTCGTTCCCGATCTCTTTCTCTAACTCTTTCATCTCTTCTATCATCCACTCTGTCTACTCTTCGTTCCTCTCTTCTTTCATCACGCTCAAGCTCGTCATTCCTTCCCTGATGTCGAATTGGTGAGCTTGGTCTTTGATCTACAATGAAAATCAAGTTTTGTCAGTGATTAATTTGACAGATAACCTATTGGTAAGACAGTATGGCAAATTTTAAATTTTATGTGTATAGGGTCACAGTGGCAATAAATATAAATCAGATACCACCTTTATATTTAATTTAATCATCCAAATAATCACCCCTAGATGTTTAAAAATATTTTTTCTTAAAGGTATTTTTTTTGCCCTCTAACTAACATGTTTTCTGCTCCCCATCAATCCCCCACCCACCTCCCACTGATCCACCTTTGACCTTTCTCTGCATGCTCCTTACCCTACCTCCAGCCCACTGCTCCAACCCCACTTTCTGCCATCTCTACCCTTCACCTCTGATCTTCTCTGTCCCCCCAGCAGGACCTGAGAACACTGGTGGCAAAGGATAGGGGCAGCAGGAGGTGTAGAACATAGGAGCTGAAGGAAAAAAAAAATTTCCCTCGTAAGTCACACCTCTAATTTCAGGCAAAAATATATACACATAAAAGTGCAGCTATTATGTGAGGAAAAAATAGTAGAACAAAACAAATATTTGTTGCTGCAATATCAATTTATCATAAATTAAAATATTAAGGGTACTGACACTTAGCAATCTTGAAATAATCAAATGTAAAAAGTGTTTCATATTCGTGATATATTTACAATTAATAACTAACTACTAATAAGTTTTCTTTAATCACATAACTGATTACTCAGATGAAGAGCTGTTTTCTTAAAATGAGTTAATAATCTCATCACATTATATATGTACGTATATTTTTTGATACATAAATCATATAAACAGAGAAAATTAATGCATGATGCTCAAATGCCTAGTTGAGCAGGAAATTAGTCTGGGATCAAAAAATGTATAATAAAATGGCATGCACTGTTCCATGGAGATGGCCACTTTCATATTATATAATAATATTTACAGGCTAATTATAAAGTCATACTATAATATGGCCAACAGATTTATAAGTGGCATATCTAACATCAACTTATTAAGCAGAATAATTTTAGGATATTTCTAGAAAAGGGCTCAATACAGTAATTTAAATTTCCTTTCTTACCACATATGAAAGATACAAATTATCCATATATACTCATTAGAAGTTATAGATTGATATAAAAGTTCATAGCATTTTAAAACTAAAACAAAACCAAACCTTGTTCTGCCCCCTTCCTCCTTTTCCTCTTAAAAACACAGAAATTATGTTCCAGAAGTGTGTCAAAGTCATAGATGGTAAATACATTAGGACAGTAGAATTAGAATTCAGTTCTCTTAAGACCTTTTTTACTTTTTTTGCTGAAACTATTTAAAATGGTTTTATTGTATTACACTTTTGATTCCCAGATGCTATATGATTGTCTCAATTCCTGGTTTGGGGGTCATAGTAATGTCATAATGATTACAAAATGTTGAAACAAACTCAATACTGCATCTTATAGTAATAAGGGACTACTACCAGGGATGGGTAACCTTTTTTCTGCAAAGGGCCATTTGGGTATTTATAACATTTGCGGACTATACAAAGTTATCAACTTAAAAATTAGCCTACTATATTAGGTCAAACATTTAACTCATCCCTAATGCCTGGCAGGGCCAGAACAAATGATTTCTCGGGCCTTATACAGACCATGGGCTGGATTTCCCCACCCTTGGAATAGACTATTTTACCCAGACACTATTTTGATGTATAAAAAGTATTTTACCAACCAAAATGACAATGTTCCTTACTTCAGAGAAAATAGAAAAAATATAAGAACACCAGTTTAATGTCTAAACTATCTTCTCTATGTTTCCCCCAAAAATGTGTTCTTTGAAGATGTGCTTCTCGTAATATATTTCCTTTATCTTAATGAGTGACATACCCATTCATCAAAGTTGGAAATCTCTGAATCCCATCATATTCAAGTAACCATCAATTTCACTCTCAAAATATTTCTTCTATTTCCTTTCTTCATCCCTACAGTTAATATTATTAACTCAGATTTTGATAAGCTCTTCTTAGATGTCTATGTCATCAATAGTCTAACTGGTTGGTATTCTTGGTCTTCAGTCTTTCCCCAGACTCTCTTATAGTTTTTGATGAAAACTCTGTTCTTCCAGCTGCTTAAAAGCAGTTACCTTATAAATAGTGAAAAGGCAATTAAATACAAAATTTTTAGCCTGACTTATAAGCCTGACAACCTGGTCTATCAACTCCCATCAATCTTTTTTCCTAGCTTCTTTCCTTTTCTACCAAATATAGCATACCTCTACCCTAACCTCATACTTCTTTATTACTTCAAAACATGTTTCTTTTAGTCTTGTATGTCTGCACATGCTGCACCCTCTCCCTGAATAGCGTTTCTTCCATTGTTCCCTTAGGCAACTCTTACTATCCTTCAGACCCTAGTTCAGATGTCCCCTATTTAGGAAGCTTTCTTGGATTTCCTCAGAATTCTGTTTGCTCCTTTGTCTTCTCATAGAACTTTATATAGTAGTTGCATTTATCACACTTCAATTGTCTATTTGTACCTATTTAGGCTGTGAAGAACTAAGGGGAAGATTTAAATTCCTAAGCACAGAACAAGGTGCCTGGGTACATCTCTAACCTCAACCTCCCTTAATCTCCCTACTGTCACCATACGCTAGTCACATTGATCTTCTTTCAAACTAGGACATATTAAATTTTCCCATGGCATATACTCTTCTCTCTGCACAGAATGCTTTTACCCTCAATCTGTGCAATACTAATGTCTCTTGTATTTATGCCTCTACATAAATATAATTTCTTTAAAATTTTTCATAAATACTCTATCTAGATTTTAAAAAAAGCTCCATCTCTTAAACCTTTACTTCTATATTTGGGTCCCTTGTTTGTTTCCTTGATAGCACTGAATCACTGTTCCATTTTTTTTGAGGGGTGGGTGGGTTATCTTCACTTCTATTAAGTTCTACAAGGACAAGGGCTATTGTACTCTGAGAACCAAGCAAAATGCATGGGGACTTGGTAAACATTTGTAGAATATCATTAACCTCAAAAATATATTTCTATCTCAGTTATACAAATGGTATTTGTTGAAATAGTTATGGTAAAGTAAAACAGAAAAAGAACAGGCCTTGTAGTCAGAAGACCTAAATTTGAATTCCAGCTATGGAACTTATTTCTCTGTAATACTGGAAAAATCACTACCTTTCTCTTGGCCTAAATCTCCTAAATTATAAAACATGGATTTTATATCTACACTTACAAGGATATTTTAAAAGGATTTTACGATTTTAAAAAATATACATATGTTCTTTGATTTAAAATTATAAAAGGATATTAAGTCAGAGAATATATATAAAGCAACTATCAAAGTTCTTGGTAACTTAATGCATGTGGGGTTTAACTAAATATAAAATTGAAACCAAACACTATGCCATGAGAAAAACCTGAGCCAGAATATGAAACTAGAAAAAAAAAAAGGAAAAAAATAAGGTATAAAAAAAGCATTACCAGGACACAGTGTTAAAGAGAGTAAAGAGAGGTGAATCAGTGTCAGGAAAGAAATAATTTCAGATATAAACACAGAACATATAAACTCCAGCCTCATCTGTAACTAAAGAAATCATACACATCATCTTTTAACCTAAATATTAGGCTTACCCTAACAAACTCAACCCAACCAGCACTGATTTCATCTACACTCCCCAAAGTACATTGTGTCTTAGAGACTTCATTCATTCTCCTCTCAGTACTTCCCATATCAGTATACTGTATTACCTCTTTGATTCAGCTCACTGTGAAGCATCAATATTCAATTCTCTACTCCATCAAATTTTATACTATACTAATCTCAGCATTACAGCAAACCTTACTTTAGTAACCAGCCAAGGTTAGTAAGACCTTCATAAAATCTTAACCATTTACAGCCCTAATATGTACAGGCAATAAAAGCTTGTTAAAGAAAGTACTTATTACCCTTCTTAAATGCCGTCTAGTAGCCTTGCTTCAAAATTTATTTAAGAGATCACCTAATAGAGTAACAGAAAATGTTTAGATTAAGATATAAAAGAATCTAAAATTAGCTAAAGCAAGCATTACATATTCTCAGGAAAGAACATAAATAAAATGTTTCTCCAGGAAACCCCAGCCCTGTAATTATCACTTTTTTTGTTCCTCTACGGCAGTCTTTACAAAACTGTTTATCACTGCTAGTGAGGGAGTGGCCATGATACTCAGATGAGAAAGTTTAAGTATCTCCTGAGTCAGAAATGCCAGAATGGTACCCCAAATCTACATTTTTTAAAGGGTTATGAGTTATTTGGTTAAGGTGAGAGACATAAAACAGTGCACCTCAATTATTTCAGTGTGCAACTACCTACACTGTTGCCCAACAGGTCATGGTAGCTAGTTATTTACACATTCTCCCCTAAACTAAGTAAACAAGAAAAGATTATATGAGTAAATATAATAGCTTCAAATGTGTCAACAAACAAAAATCTTAAAAGACATCATTCATTAAAAAGTAAGTTGATAACTATTTAAAAAATAATAATTTCTCCAATCAGTGTTGGTCATTATTTAATAATATTCCATTTGACAAACCTCTTTCTCTATTGTCACGACGGTCTCTTTCTCCATGTCTTCTCTCAAAGGAAGAATCTCTTGTTTGATCTCTATTGTCTCTTTCAGGATATCTGTCTCTTTCAGGATAGCTACTTCGAGTTTCCCAGCTTTCATGATAGTTGCTACTACTACTGTGACTATCAAGTTGAGAAGCTCTTGTGCCTCGGCTTCCTAAAAAGGATATTCACACAAATGTTTACTTATACACTTCATTCAACAAGTTTCATCAGTCACAATTTTTCCGACCAAAACCCATACAGATAAAGGTGTTTTAATTCAAAAGTGTACTAATCATTGTTGAAAAGAATATTAGCTGTTAGATCAGAACACCTAAGTTGTCTTATGGATATATATTATTGCTTTGATTACAGTTTATGAGTGAAAACATTCCAATTCAGAACCAAGACACTTTGTTGACATTAAGCGGTACCTAAAAATTTACATTAAAAAATGTGGGAAATGAATAGTCATAGTAGCCTTATTTGTAATACCAAAAACTGGAAAGGACCCAAATGACTTTTAATGGGTGACTGGTTAAAAAAACAGAGGTACATCCAAACCATGGAATACTACAATAAGGAACAAACTATTGATACATGAACCTCAAGGAAATTATACTGAATGAAAAAGCCAATTTCAACAGGATACTTGCAGCATGATTCCATTTATGTAACATTTGTGAAATAACAATTACAAGATAGAGGACTTATTAGTGGTTGCCAGGGATTAGGGGCAAGGGATTTAGGCTGTGGCTATAAGGGGATAACACAGGGAGTTTTGTGATGGTAAAGTTGAATATCTAGATTGTGATGATGGTAATGCAAGGTTACACAGCCATTAAGGAAAACAGTATAGAGCAGTGGTTCTCAACCTTCCTAATGCCACGACCCTTTAATACAGTTCCTCATGTTGTGGTGACCCCCAACCATAAAATTATTTTCGTTGCTACTTCATAACTGTAATTTTGCTACTGTTATGAGTCGTAATGTAAATATCTGATATGCAGGATGTATTTTCATTGTTACAAATTGAACATAATTAAAGCACAGTGATTAATCACAAAAACAATATGTAACTACATATGTGTTTTCCAATGGTCTTAGGTGACCCCTGTGAAAGGGTCGTTCAACCCCCAAAGGGGTCGTGACCCACAGGTTGAGAATCGCTGGTATAGAGGCTCCTAAAAAAACTAAAAATAGAATTATCATATTATCCAGCAATTCCACTGTTGGGTATACGTCCACAGGAACTGAAATCAGGATTTAGAAGAGATATCTGTACTCCCATGTTCATTACAGCATTATTCACAATAGCCAAGAAATGGAAGCAACCTAAAGAAAATGTGGTATATATATACAATGGAATATTATTCAGCCTTAAATAAGAAGAAAATCTTGCCATTGGCGACATGAATGAACCTGGTGGACATTATGTTTAGTAAGATAAGCCAGACACAGAAAGACAAATACCGCATTATACCACTTATATGTAAAATCTAAAACAGTCAAACTCATAGAAGCAGTGAGCAGAATGGTGGTTGCCAAGGACTGGAGGGAGAGTGAAACAGGGAAGTATCAGTCAAAGGGTACAAAATTTCATTTGTACAGGATGATGAGTCCCAGATATCTTCTGCATGTTATAGTGCCTATAGTTAGTAATATGTACCAGAAACTAAAAAATTTGGTAAAGAGGGTAGATCTTATGTTAAGTATTTTCATTATACACATCCTATATAATAAAAGGCTAATATGCAAATCCACTGAACGGCAGAATGACTGGCCACTATGACGTGCACTGACCACTAGGGGGCAGATGCTCAATGCAGGAGCTGCCCCCTGGTGGTTAGTGTGCTCCCACAGGGGGAGTGTCACTCAGCCAGAAGCTGGGCTCATGGTTGGTGACAGGAGCCTCTCCCGCCTCTGCAGCAGCACTAAGGGTGTCCAACTGCCAGCCTAGGCCCGCTCCCTTTAGGGAGCATAATTAAAGCACAGTGATTAGGGAGCGGGCCTAAGCCGTCAGTCAGACATCCTCCTAGGGTTCCCGGACTGTGAGAGGGCACAGGCTGGGCTGAGGACCCCTGTCCCAAGTGCATGAATTTCGTGCACCGGGCCTCTAGTCTATATATATAAAAGCCCAGCGACCAGAACGGCAGAACGACCAGAAGGACCCGTGGCTACGACGTGCACTGGGGCAGCCAACCAGCCTGATCCGGGCCCCAACCTCCCCCTCCCTGGCTAGCCCGGCCCGATTGGCCCCCAACACCCTAATCGGGGGTGGGGCCACCCTCCCCAGCTGGCCAACCACCTGCGGCCCCTCCCCCTGGCTGGCCCCACCCTCAATTGGACCCCAACACCCCGATTGGGGGCGGAGCCAGCTGCCCAACCTCCCATGGCCCCTCTCCATGGCCGGCCTGATGGGCCCCATCAGGGCAGGCCGGCCAGACCCCACGCCTGCATAAATTTGTGCACCGGGCCTCTAGTACACAAATAATAAAAAATAAAGAGAGCAGGATGAAATATTTTTGCAGGTGACAATTATGTTTATGGCAGATTTTGGTATATACTTATTTCCAAACTCATCAGTTGTGTACATTAAATGTGTATAGCTTTCTTTTCATATTTATAGCTTTATTTTAGAGATTTTTTGTAATAAAGACAAAAATAGGTGATCTAGGCATCAATAGTTTGACAGCTGAAATGAGTTAAGTTGATTGAAGCACATGGTTGTCTTTCTCAGAAATAAAACTAATTTCCCTAGGTATCTTGTAGCTCTTCATTCTATTGGGAGCATTTTAGGTAACCTGACAGAGAAAAGCTGCGCGCTGGGATGCAGTCCCTCCCAGCCGCAGTGTGCCAATTTCCCCAAGTCCATGCCCTCTGAGTACTGCAGGCCAGGTGCTGGCACTGGAGCCAAAGGGGATGCAGTTATTTCTAGGGCCTTCCCTCTGGAGCCGCCCAGGCAGGCATGCTAGTCCCAGCAAAGAGGGGTTGGGGGGGTGGGGGCAGCTAGAGGTGGGTATGGCCTGGGAGGGGCAGGGTCAGGCCAAGACTCAGGAATCCCTGCCCTCCTTACACGCCTCCCTACAGCCCAGACCGGCGTGATTGTGACACCACAGGTGCCATGGGGCTGGGGCCCTGGGAATGCCCCCACACCCCGGGGGTCAGCCACCCCCAGCAGCTGTGAGTGACTGCTCAGCTGCGCCTTGAGGATGCACACCTCGGTGGTCACCCGTGGATGCAACCTGCCCTGCACAGGATGGGGGTTGCAGGGCCTTGGGATGTTCCTTCTTCCCCCATTCACCCTGCCAGGTGGCTGGCACCGAAACTGAGTCGCGCACCAGGCCCCAGGGCGGGGGACTTCTCTGGGCAAGATGGGGAGTGCTTGCGTGACTTGCTGCTGTGGCACAGCTTGTCCCTGTCCCTTAAGCCCTGGGGAGCATCTAATTATGGCGTAAGGGGCACCATGGATACTTTAGGGAGGGCTTGCCTAACAGTCTATGCAGGATTTAGTTTCCCTCTAATCCAGAGGTACAGAGAAGAGCAGGGTCCAAACCGAGGAGAAGGCGGCCTGCGAGGGGCGGAGCTCAGCACAGCAGGACCCCAGTGGGAGCTGTCTGTCTGAGTCAATAACCACTCAGTGTGGAAAGATGACATTGCACAAGCCCCACGTTGGGTGCCAAATCTGATACCCCAAATGGCAAGCTCGGACACTTATCATCACAGGTTCTTGTCCTATAAAGTTTGAAAAATAAAATTTGCAGACTAAAAGATTTTAAGCAAAGTGTAGAAGTTTACTGCAAGGGTATACAAACTCCCTCTGGGAAAGGGTCCCCTAAGGGGACTCCTCTGGGGAGAGTTCCCCAAATGGAGAAAAACTTGCTCTCTAAAATGGAAAAAAACCTAGTGATACGGAATTTTTGGACTGGAACCCAGATTCTTTGTCCGCTGGAGTTGAAGAATGAATCCACGGACAGAGGGTAGTATAGCAAAGGTGGAGATTTATTGAAGAACAAGTACAGACTTCCACATGGGGAGAGGGAAAGAGTCCCACAGAATGGACTCCCACGTGGGGAGGGGGAAAGGGTCCCCATGTATAGCTTTTTGTATGTCAATCATACCCCAATAAAGTTCATGGAACCAAACACACACACACACACACACACACACACACACACACACACATAACAGCTTTAGGAGCACTGAACAAATTATAGCATAATTCTAAATACTGGAAGAGAGTATTTTAATAATCAAAATATTTATAAAGAATATTTTAATAATTAAAGACCAAAAAGAAGAAATTGGAAACATTGTTTAAAATACTACATAAAACCTCTGGGAATGAACAGGTTAAATGTTGGATTAGATGGTGCTAAGAGAAAAATGAGTAAAAAAAGATATGTCTGAGAATACAACCCAGAGAATGAAAGACAGATAAAAAGATGAAAAATTTGAAAGGAGAGTTAGGAGTAAAAAAAGACACAAGGAAAGATTCAAAATGTGTCTAACATTTGTCTAACTATATACTGTTTGGAGTAATTTAAAACAAAAAGATACAGAAAGTTTGAAAGGATAAAAAAAGTCATATCAAACAAATACTAACCAAAAGAAATTGGTGGAGTGACGTCAGAGAAATGGCAGTGTGAGAGGTTCCACTGGTCTGTCTATTCCCACTGAAGTTACAACAATTTGAACAGCTATAATTCATCAAAGGATTCCCTGCTCAATGCACAAATACATTTGAGAGATCCATGCATTGAAAAATCTGAAGGTGGGCAAGTAGTTGACAGTAGAGAAATAGGGAAGGGAGCAGAGTAGAGACAGGTGCCAAGGACACAGCAAGGAGCTCACTGTGGATATCGAAGAGGAGAGAAATCAGGTTGCTGTCTGCACTCCCTACAGCCCAAAGGAGCAGAGATACAATGAGGTGAGCATTCTTATAGGAGTAGTTGGTACATGCTGTGGCTGAATCCAGTGAGTTGGGCAGAAATGGAGTACAGAGGTGTAGCTTGGTTGTCAGGCAGTCGCCACTGGCAGCAAAGGTCTTGCAGTTGCCATTATTGGGAGGAGAACAAACCCACAAAAGCACCAACCCGCCTTTCCCAGCTTACCCCACCTCCACCCATCATGGCTGGACTGCTGGCAGTATCTGGCTGCAGGGACGGCACTGGG